GTTGCAGGGGATAGTCAGGGACTGGGGGGCTTGGGGAAAGGGTAGTTATCGCTCAGTGGGCACAGGGTTTCTGTGAGTGGATGGTGCTGATGTTTACACAACAGCGTGACTACTTAATATCACCGAACCGTACACTCAAAATGGTTCAAAGGGAAAATCTTGTTGGGTATATTTTATCACAATAAAAACACTTAAGTAAATAGCGCTGGAGATAAAGGGCCCCGTGGCCGTGGAGGACAAATGGCTCTTAGCCGGATCACCACGTTGGCACGAACACATCTCTTTGATAGTTGTCTTTGGTTTAGTTTTAGAGACACAGGAACAGAAGCCACAATCCTGCGTGGGAAGGAAGAGTCTCATTGCTCAGTTTAAAGACAACTGGAAGATAGAGGCAGAAGCACAAGTTCCCATAGGAAAGGAACGTCGTTTGCCTCCACTAGGCTGAATGTGACAGGGGCAGGCGTGGCTTCTCACGAGCTGTTGCGAGGTAGCGCAGGACCGAGAGGCCCGTGATGCTGGAGAAAGATTGTCTCTAGAGAGTCCAGTTTCTGGTTTTGTGGGTATTCATCATCTTGGAGCCTCACTTTCTGTATCCGTAGGATGGGACTACTGCCTTCTTTGCAGAAATAGAGAAGTCATCTGTGTCTACAAAAGCACCTACTGCATAGCGATCACCCACACAAGTGTTTGCTATCATCCATCTCCCACGATATGCATTTTTTTTTTTACTTTTTTACTTTTAAAACATATTTTACCATGATTTGTCTGTCAGCAATGTGATACCTGCCAGATTCATCTTAGCAACCAGGAAATGGGATTGACTCTGCAAAAGACATCATCCGTGTTCTGCGTTGACATGTTGATGTAACCCCGCGTTATTTCGGGCATTCTGGAGTGTGTTACAGAAGGAAGCGTGATGTCTTCTTGTTCTGGTTTCATGGGGAGCCCTGTAAGGCTATCAGTAGCAGAGCTGAGACTCAGCTTCTTGACCCAGGACCCCTGGCACAACTGTGTGTCTTGCTAAAGTTTCTTCCGGTTCTCTCCTAATGGTCTTCATCAGAGACCCACGTGGGAGGGGTCCAGGCACTGCCTCACCAGCATTCTGCACATTTGCCAAAGGACAACTTGAAACAGGGGGGTCAAAGGCGATCAGGGCAGATGAGGGTAGTGATGCTTTTTTTCTAACCAAACCATCATCCGTTTGATGCCTGTACATACCTGCCTGTCGTTACGCAGGGCTTGAACTGATAACCCGGTAGAACACAGTGAACATCATCCGTTTGATGCCTGTACATACCTGCCTGTACATACCTGCCTGTACATACCTGCCTGTCGTTACCCAGGGCTTGAACTGATAACCTGGTAGAACACAGTGCAACTTCCACAAGGACGTGATGAATAGAAACACTGAACTGTGCGTCCACCATTCCTTGTCAACAGAACTCTGGGTCCGTGGAGGAACATGACAACACTCAGCAAGGAAGATTTGGGAGTGTGTTCGAGCCAGCGTGAAGTACCTTCACCCATTTCCCCACTGAGGTACGTGTGGGGAACACCTGAAAGTGACAAGAGCCCATAGGTTAGGGCTGTCCAGCCTCGGCCTGTCAGCGTCCCAGGCTTGGGTTCTGCCTGCTCCCCACTCTGCCTGCTGCCTCTCGGGTGGGGAGAGCAGGGAGAAGGGTGCCACACTGTAAGCCACTGATTGTCTTGACATGTGACTCACCATTTTCCTTGTGTTTCCCCGCTGCCCATCTTGGTGTTGGATATAGAAGTTTGCTTAAACCCGTTGATAACAGAAACCCAAGTCAAACTAACTTAAGCAAAAATGGGAAAATGTAGGCTCTTGGGAAATCTAAGGGTGAATCTAGGTAGCTGAGTCCAGGAGCCCAAATCATGCCATCACGATAATATTTTTCCCTCTCTTTTTTTCTCTGTATTTCTTGGGTTGCCTTTATTCTCACTCCCTACTTCGTGGTAATGATGGCCACCAAGATCTTCAGCTTTGTACCGTCTTCACAGTCGGCAGAAACACTAAGCGTAGAGGCAGCCTCTTTTTGAAATCGGTCCATTGACAGATGATGTTCTATAGGCTGATGAAACACTAAAAATAAGATTTAGTATCTGCCTTCAAGCTTCTTATAATGAATGGGTTAAGCCTATAAGGTAACTGGAGTTTGACTGGTTTGTAAGAAGGAAGAAAAGGTAATTTTAAAACACAACGTGTCTGTATATGAGGTCTCTAGAAAGGAATCAAGGGTCAGGAAGCTAATCGAATGCCACCGAATGCCTACCATCAAGAAATAGGGGCTCCAGGACATGGGACAGAGAAAGGAAAGGAAAGTCTTGCGACTTTGATTAGGATTCTGAGGGTCACCACCTTTTATGTACCATTTCCAGCAACTATAGTCAGTACTGGACTCCAGATAATCATGATATATGGCAATCTAAACATGAAAACTCTGATCGCCACACAAAGTGTGTGCACATGACCCGGTAAGACTCCATCCTGAGAAATCCAGAGTTCGACTCTGCATTCCTTTAGGCGTCTGACAGGTGTCAGGAAAAGGAACCTGCTAATAATGTGACCAAAGAGAAGGTTCCAGTATGACTTATTTAATAGTTACTTAATAATAATAATGATTAAAACACCTTCAAACTTGGTAAGGAACTCTAGAATCACTAGGAAATGTTGTAGAAAAAGCGTTTTTCTAACAATACACATTCATCGTAGAGGATCGAAAGACTTCTGCTTCTGGCCAAGGAGGAGTAATAGGAAGTAGATTTACACTCCTGCCTTAAATAACTAGAAAACTGGACAAAATATATGAAATGATAGTTTTCAGATATTTCAGCATAGAACCATGACCCTGTGAGGAAGGGGTGGGGGGAGGAAGAGGTCAGCCTACAACTGCTCCAGCTCGCTGCCTGGAGGCAATTTCCAGACTGTAGTGCTGGGCGGGGGCGGGGGGTGGGGAGGGGAGCAGAACAGAGCTCAACAGTCTTGTTGCAATGAGGAGCTAGATCCAAGTGCAGGGAGGTCATGGCCGCTGGCACTTATGGGTCAGGGTATCGAAAGGGGGCTTCAGAGAGGGAGCGAGTACCAGAGATACGCAGTGGGGTGACTCTGAGCACTGATCTACATACATATGACAGGAATGTATCTGAGGAGAAAGAACCAGCCACAAGCAGCTGAGCATTTCACAAGACTCACACAGGGCTAGGAGGCATTTGTGTTCCCGCTCTCCAGAGGAGAAAGAACTCCCAGTGGAGTCTTCAGAAAGAGGACCCTCCTTGTTTAGCCCCATCTTAGTAGCGGGACTAAAGAAGGCCAGAACTAAAGGCTGCTGCAGACTCATCATAAGAAGCTTAAAATCAAGCCTCGAAAGGGTCTGACTGATTTCAGGTAGCTTAACCCAGTGCCATAATAAAGCTCAATACTATTTAGAGGACTATAACACAATCCAGCAAACAACAACATAGAATTACAATGTCAGCCATTAAGTCAAAAATAACCAGGCGTGCAAAGAAGCAGGAAAATACTACTCTTAGCCCAGAAAAAAAAAACCATCAATAGAAACTGACCCAGAAATTATGAAAATGATGAATTTGCAAATAAAAACATTAAAACAGCTATTTTAAGTGTACTGTCCATGTACAAGAAAATAAAGGAAAACGTAAACATGATGAGAAGATAAATCAATAATATAAAAAGATTGACATGGGACGTATAAAGATGAAAAATACAATGTCTGAAATGAAAAATGCTGGGTGGGATTAATAGTTAGTCAGACGCTGAAGAAGAAAAAATGAGTGAAGCCGAAGACAACAATATAAACTATCTGCAGTGAAGCTCAGAGAGACAACGGACTGAAAAATTAACTGAGCATCAGTGACTTGTGGACTATACTGTGTAATCTAAGTGGACCACATACGCATAATTACACTGGAAAGAAAATGGGGTGGGTGTGGGGGAGAACATATTTGAAGAAATAAAGATGTTCTAACTTTGATAAAAACTATTAACAGAAAGATTCAAGGAGCTCAACAAACACCCAACAGAATAAACATTGAGAAAACCATGCCAAGACACAGGATAATTAAGTTGTTAAAAACGGCTGATAAAAAGAAAAACTTCATATGAAAAGGGACACGTTACATACCTGGAAACAACAGTTACAGTGACAGCAGACATCTTGTCAGAAATGCATAATCCAGACGATAATGAAGTAACATCTTTAACATGATTCATTCCATATATCGAAGGAAAATGCATGAAAATAACACAGAGACGAGTAGAAGGAAATGAATCTTATACTGTCATAAGATTGTTATATTAAAGCAGGATCATAAGTTAAAAAGTATAACATGTACCATATAGGGGACTAAAATTTATGACACGGACCAAGCTCTGACCAAACGAACTTCAAAGTGCTTTTTAAAAATGATTTTACTGTTCTGCAGTTTGTATCTTTCATTCTGGCTTTAATTAGTTATAATGATATTTATAATTTCAAAATTTAACCTATCTGTGTAGTTCAACATCTGCTCCTCTTTTGTGACACATTGCCAAGAAGCAGCAAAGGAAGTATTTTCAGCATCATGCTGGTCTCACCAAGCTAAATTTGGTATGTTGGAATTTGTTGATGAGGATAAACTATGTGAGAATTCTTGCGCTTGAAGTAATGCTGGCTTTGGGCCATTTCTATTTAAATGACGGGTTTGGAAGACATCGTGTTTATAAAACGATTCTGCCATTTACAAACTGTACTACCTTCTGTTTGGGGAAATATGTAAGGTCTCTGTGACTTGGAGATCCCGTACATTGCACGCAGCAAAAGAAAGAACATAGGCTTCTCTGGTGTCCTTCCTTATTCATTGAGGAATAAACGAGACTCCTGGAACCCACGATGGAAAACTTGCTTACTTAATAACTAACCCTTCTTGTCAGATGAGTAGAAAATAATACTGACCTCATTGACTTTTTTTTTTTTTTTTTTTTAGCCACCAATGCATCTCCCTATCCAGTGTGGGTCACATTTGGAACTAGGAGCTTTAAACAAGGTCTGTTACTTAGGGGCTGGATAATGAGACAGAGGTCTAACAGGTAAAGTGGCCCTGGATAGCTTAGAGAAGTCAGGTATACGGTTAATCAATACATTTGGCTAGAGGCCCAGGCAGCCCAGCTTAGTGGTAAAGAACAAGTAGGGAATTCAGGAGATCCAAAGAATGTCCCAGTTCTGTCACTGGCTCGACCTCAGGCCACGTAACCTCCCTGGACCTTTCTCCTTGACACCGGAGTAGTATTTCCCTCCGTACAGTGCCTGCCACTGGTGGTGTGCCAGATTTCCTTCTTCTTAACAAATGCTAGTGTATTTTAGAAACTATTAGGAAATCTGATGAGAGACGACCATAATTTTTTGACTATTATTGATTAGGAAGAGTTAAACTAGAAAAATCGAGTCAATATAAAGACAAATACTATGTAAATGGTCTAAAAAATACCAAGATAGAGAAAAAAAACTAAAAAGATTTCCAGCTTAAAATGGTGGGTTGAGAGATGTTTGTTTAAAGGCATACACGATAAGGCATAACTTGCCCATAACAGTACAAATAAAATGAGAAATCTCATGGCGACAGAATGATAGATGTCAGGTGGACATGGGGAAACGAACTGATGAGCAGACTCAAGAAAGCTGAAGAGCCAGCGGTGCGTGAAGGTGAGTGGCAACTTGATTTGCACCTCAGAACCTCGGAAAGGCGTAGAAATCTGCAGCATCTGTTGCTTCTGGAAGCAAAGGTTCGAAACAAAACAACTTTGGTTAAAAGTCTCTTTAGGAGGAAGAGGGCGTCCTCCGTGCCCACACAGCCAGAAATCTGCCCCTCTTCCCCGACCTGGGCCGAAGACTCCAGAAGAGAATTCTTCATGGAAATGAATCCGTTGGGATACCAAGGACATGAGTGCTGAGGGCGGATTTATGCAACTATGGGAAAGTTTGGGACTATATTAGTGAAAAGTGTCTAAAAAATCTTATCAAACCATAGTACTATTAACTCTGCAAAACAACAACAACAACAAAACAACCCCACACACTAATAACTGCAGAAAAGGAAAAGTCATCACAGTTCACTAGGTGTCTTAGATGTCAACTGTGGTTTCATTTCATCCTTAAAGTAATGTCAACTGAATATTGATTTTACCCAACTGTCTATATTGGAAGGTTGGTGAAGGACGGGAAGTAGAAATGGGAGCTGAGTAAGGACTACTGAAATTAAGCTTAATCTGAATATTTCATAGTAGGAAGTCAACAGATAATGCTAAAATAAAAAATCAAGTAGAAATATTAAGAGTTGCTTTTAAAGATAAAGAATTGGGGATAAATAGGAAAATAATAATTTAGAAGCACTGGCAGAGGTAACTTCAAGGCTGGAGAAGGGCTTTATTTTTTGTAGCAAGTATTGTAGAACTATTTGACTTTTAACTACATGCACTATAATTTTGCTACAATTTATAAAATTCCATTTAAAAAGTAATGAAGGTATTCTGCAAATGACGGAACTTTGGAAAATACTAGCCTGAAGACTTTAAAAGATGGTCTGTGAACTGATCTTAAAAAAAATGAATTAGCAATCTCTATTTCTATTTGTTTGTCATCATAATACCCGGATGGCTTAAATTATTATTTAAATTACAGTGAATTATTTTGAGGAATGATGGTCTAGAGGATTATAGCATGGGGACATTACAGGGTTTCATAAACCAGGGCTGGAAGACACCGGAGACACTTGAAAAATTCCAAGTACTCATTTGTAAAGGTATACACACACACACATACATACGTACATACATACATACATACATACACACATATAAGTTTTTGCTTAGGAAATAGGCATTTCTGGAATGGCTGGGACCAGGATGCACATACCACAGCTGCAAAGCTTTACTAGCTCAATTTCACAATACTCGTTCAATTGAAAATACAAGAGGGACAGGTAGGCATCTATCATTAAATGAAGTAAAGCATGTAAAACATCAGGTACTGAATGAATCTTTGCTACCTTCTCTCTCGCCCACCTCCATGGGAAAGGAGATTAACTGGCAATCACTCAAATTGTGACGAATCTTTTCTTGGGTTCCCAGAACCCGGGACCAGAGTGATGGTTGGCGAGTGAGGAGCTTCTTTTATAAAGCAGAGTCTGATGGCTAGGAGAATCTAGAATTATATCAGAAAAAGTGAAAAATTAATGGGAAACGACTAGATTTTATACCCAGTGGTTTAGAACATTCCAGAGCCAAGAGAAGTTCTTTGTAATAATTGGGGCCAGCTGTGCCTGAGCAACTCAGGCCAAGCCAGATGCCAAACCCCAACTCAAACTCTTACAGGAAGATCTTCCTCACAAGCCTCCAAACATCCTGTAAAAAATCAGAAGAAGGTTAATTACGTTATCCTTTTTATTCCGTCAAAACGTTTTTTCTCCTGACTACTGGTAACCTTTCTGGTTTTCACTGGCGCTTCCTATCTGAAGATAATGCTGCTGATGCCATTATATTGTGCGTACATGGAAGAATTCTTTAAAAAAAAAAAAAGAAAAAAAAGCCTTTATTAACAACTTTCCATTCTGCTGGAATTTGTTCTTGGAAAACTGCCCTTACCCATAAGCCACACCAACTCGCCCATAAGTCACATATTTGTTGGCCAATAAAAACGAACTGCCCCGACATCTCTCTGAATTGGAAAAGAACTGAGTGGCTGGAGGTAGGAGAGAAAAATGGAGGACCTTTACTATTTTCTCTGTTGTGACTTTTGAATCGAAATGAAAAGGTGTATGAGAATTTCCTCTTCTAAAAAGAAAGTACTTAAAACATTTTTTTTTCCAGTTGATGGCTATGCTTTTCCTCCAGGCCATTTATTACGCTCTTTTTGTCGAATTGGAGATCTCTTGAACCATATTAAATTGCAGGTCCTTCCATCTCATGTTTCTCTTCCTGCCACTTCAGAATTAATTTTTTTTTAAGCTACAGCTGAGAGAGACTCCCAGGAAAGCCACATGGCATCTTGCTTCGGTGGCGTTAAGTAAGCCGAGCCGTAAGCGCTGCTGGGGTCTGCCTGGTTCACTGGAAGGAGCCGGCCTGCTCCTTTTCCCAGCCCTGCTTGCACCGGTCACTTTGTCGCAGCTGTAAAGGAGGCGGAGCAAGACCACGGCTTTACTGCCGTTTGCCACGGTGACTAACTTGGCTAAAAATGTAGAACTCCCTGCATTCCTGAGGTTGACTCACTTCCATCCAAAACTCTTGGGCTGGGGTTGGAACTCAGCTCAGGTTTGCCAGGGGCTGCTCCTGGGAGCTGGCCTGGGACGGTCTTGGCTGGACGCCCAAGGGTTAGAATTCAGAGAAGAATATTCTGGATGACTCTTAGACTCATCTGGGTTCCTTGGCCAGCAGAAACTGCACCTGTCCCACACCGTCCCAATGTCAAAGGCACAGCAGGAAACAGGCCGCCTTCCCGAAGTGCAGTGAGCTCACACTTGATTTGATTCCCTAGATTCTCTCGGTTTCTGCAGCAAGATTGGTTTAGAGATGCAATGATATTTTTCTTACAGGCATTTTAGCCTTTTTACTGAATAATTCAACCACGTGAAATGGAGCTTGTACCACTGATCCCTAGCTGTCCCCTATTTGGGGGAACCATACTAATTTTATAGATCACGGGTCTCCAGAATGAAGTATTTGTACCTGATGTACATATAAGGCAGTCTTTTGGAGCAGAGTAAGAAAATATTTGAGCTTAGATTTAGTTTTGTCTAAAACACAAATTAAGTTTACTAGTATTTAATAAATAGATTGACACTGATCTTTCCTCTTAGCTCACATGTCAGAAGGTTGAGTGCTCTGGATGATGGAGGAGAAAACCTGAGGAAATCTCATCATTTGGAGAGATTAATAGCATCACCGTAATTATTCATTTTTAGTATAGCAGGACGCACAGCAGTTTATGTGTGACAGCTTGCATGGGTTTACAGATTTTATAATCTAGTTTGGATAAAACTAATCCTGATAAAACTGGGCTAATGGCATGAGAATATTTCTCGAATAGAATCACAGAGTAAAGCGAATAACAAAATTCAAGTGTAAGTAACAACAAGAATATGGTAGAGCAGACGCCTCGTACTCATCTGTCACATGTGGTAAAAGTAAGGACAATCTAACTTATCACATGGTCTCCACTAAAAATTCTCGTGAGAGCGGAGTTGTGGTTATTTTATCTTTATCTCATCCTTCTGAAATTTCTATTTTTGTAAATATTTTTTAACCGATGTAACGTGTTAATGGAGTTTTATATGTCTATAACTTCATGAATAAATAAACACTGCATGAGTGAGCCTGCTCGAACATTTCATTATTGATGGCATACGCAATCAAAACAAAAAGAAAGGCAAAAGAATAATCGATTATTTCTCCGAATTCACCAAAAAAGCGAGTGAGAGCCAGAAACAAGTTCTGTCCTTCTGTGGTCCCAATCACATCAGGCTCCCACCTTTTAGAGTCTCTACGACCCTGTAAATGACCACCTTTAAAAATATTCTTTCTAATATGATGCAGGAATGAAATCTGCAAGGCAGTAAAAGGCTACATATAGCATCATCCACTTACATGACATTCTCAAGAAGGTAGAACTATGAAGACAGTTGCTCGGGGTTGGGGACAGGAGAGGCGTTGACTACAAAGGCGCAGCATGAAGGACCCTGGGGTGGTGGTGGATGGAATTGTCCTGTGTGTCGTATGGTGGCATATACATGACTCGATTGTCAAAATCCAGAGAACTGTATAGTTCGAAAAATGAATTTTACTGTTTGCAAGTAAAAAAAATCAACCAGATTCCCAGACGCTTGAGATGGAATGCAGACCGTGGCAAGGGAATCTAGCAGTATTAACAGTGAATGACATAAGCACGTTTAGGGGGGAAGGGGGGAAAGGAGGCAACGTAAGTGATTTTGGAAAATAGGATTTCGAGTGGATACTTTAAGACTCAAGACAAAAAAGACTGTGCACAAACATTATACTATACTTTAGTGAGTAAAGTGGGTTTGGGTTAGCAGTTTTGAAACTACTTTACCTGTACGCCAGAGTTGAACAAATAAGTAAATATACTGCGGACGATGAGAGCCGAGTGCCTTACTGGTGGAAAATGCTGGAACACGCCCTGTGGAGCTGGACTGGACCAGAGGTGTCAGCGTGAACGCACACGTGTTTGTGTGTGTTCAATATATCTTTGGACAGATCAGGGCTTCTCAGCTTTGGCACTAGTGACGCTATCCTGAGCTGAGTGACTCTGTTGCTTTGGCCTGTCCTGTGCGCTGCAGGATGCTTAGCAGCATCCGTGGTCTTCGCCCACTAGATCCTCCCCCAGAGTTGTGACATTCCAGAAAGTCTCCAGAATTTGCCAAATATCCCCAGGTTGAGAATCACTGAGTGAGATACACACAGAAGTAAATATCGACGTGAGTGTTTGCGTGGCTTAGTATTTATACGTTATTTCCTAGCTCTGTGTACTGGGGGCCTAGAAACAGTGACCCCCCAGTAAGAAACGACCTTGCCTACGACCCAGATGTTGGTTCCCAACGCCGCTCTCCAGTAAAAGAAACGAGGGCTCCTTCGAGACGTGGCTGATTGCAGGGCTGGGCAGGGGGAGCATGAGACGAGCCCGCAGCACCTCGCGGGGCTACCGCAGCATCACGAAGCTCTGCAGAAGCGGGAAACTGAAAGCGCGTCTAAGAGCCGGAGCTGGGACGGTTCGGGCAACAAGAGAAATAGCAATAATATCGGATGATAATGCAAAGAACAAAAATTAATATCCATGAGTCCCCAGTGTTACAGATGAGTCAATGAAAAAGATAGGACAGCTCTTCCTTCCAGAAGAATTCAAGTTAATAAAGGAACGAAGGCGACCCTGGAGTCGTTGGGACACCGCAGTAATTACTGCGACAACTGAGAACTGCCTCTGAATATTAAACTTGGTGGGTGACGGTTTAAGGGGAAAGAGGACAGTAGAGAAACCTGGTGGATATCGCCTCAACCAGATAATCGGTGTTGACGTCACTGGTCACTAAGACTGGTACTCTGTTCTTCCTGATGGAATGTAGTGAGAAGGACACCTCACCTCTGAGGATTCCTCCCCCAGATCTATGACCTCAAGCCACCCAGGACACAGCATCTCACAGAGCCAAACCGAGGGTCCGCCTGGGAGTGTGGGCTGCAGTTCCCTGCCCAGTCGCCCCGCATCTGCCCCAGGCCGCTCCGACGGGATTTCACTGTGTTCGATTCACATTCCAGAAGGGACACCTCATCAAGGGCCTTGATTCGAGAAGCGCTCATAAAATGTTCTGAAGGATGTCCTCGTTACTCTCTTGTTCTATTTTTCAGGTAAAGTCATCTCAGTTCGTCATTTCCCCTAATACGTATCCACCGACTCTCAAATAGTTCCTGCTCAAAACAAGAGTCGTTTTTGTGCAAAGTCAGCATGGAGGCCGGAGCCCCAGAGGCCGGAGCCCCAGAGGCCGGCTTTGCCCTGAACGGTCTACACCCCTGAACTGAGCTGCTTCCTTATCAGTGCTTCAGCGTCCTTGTCTGTCAAACAGAAAGATCGTGCCAGGTGACCTCCGGGGGCCTTAGAGGCGCCAGCATTCACGTTCTAGGCTCCGGACCTCTGGATGGACGTGCGTCCTCTCGCCAGGGCTGTGCGGGGCCTTGCGGCCCACAGACGTACAGCACAGGCGCATTGCTCAAACCCTTTTCCTTTTCACTGCTCGCTCGTCCGTCTTCCAAAGCGGAAAGCTAACACCTGGCAGCGCTACAACCTGCTGCAGCATCCGACCGAGTGGCAGGTGCAGGAGGCAACCGAAAGCTACGTGAAGACAAATGCCCCTCTGTCACGTGCAGAGCTGGACGCCCATGGTCCAGGAGCACCAAAAAGGGGCACGATGCACATTCTCTGAACACATAAATTAATGAATAAATGATGTCACCAGCTGAGAGAAAGGCCAATCGGATTAGAGATGAGTGGGCCTGAAATGGACCCTGTGGGCCGGCTCCACGGTTCCCCTTGGGCCCATTCCCTCTGACAGCCCTCTGTCTCCTCCTGGGCAGGTGCTCTGATGGACGAAGTTTCCTGAGGTGCAGTAGGTGAGGAGAAGGTCACTCATCACCCTCTGAGCTCAGCTGCGACCTTCCGTAGAATGTTCCAGAAAGGCATTTAAATTCATCGCCAAACAGACCCCTTTGTCTTTCAATTACTGTCAAGAGGTGAACTAACACTGCTGAAAAGATCCAAAAGAAGGTTTTTCTGGGTCTGTTTTAGCAGGTAGATGCTACTCGTTTAAGGCAACGCACTGCGTTAAAACAAAGCTTCAACAGCGCTGGGAAAATTGTTATCATTAGTAGGTTAAGCCAATTTGTCTGTGCTTTTGTTTACCTTTTAGCTGGGTTAGTAAGTTCTTTCTTCAAAGACAACACAAAGATAAACTTCAACCACCTTTAATGGTCACAAATGCCCAAATTCAGTCATTCGAATTCATTTATAATGGGAAAATTATTTGTTAACCTTCACATGCGACTCTGCCAGAGGTGTCTATCTCCTTTGTGGTGTCAGTCATCTTCGTCACCTCATATTTTACCGTAATCTCTCTGATTTCTGATTCTTTCCTTTTTTTCTGCCGACCTTTCTTCTTGCTTGAGTTTCTAGTTTTCACTCCTCCTAACATGTCCCAAGCTTCACTGCTCCTGGTATTTCAAAAATGTCGAGTTTTCCCTCTAACCGCGTGTGCTCCCCGCCAATCAACGCACGAGGAGAAGGATCCACATGTGGTTTGGTTTCCTTTTA